GCTGGGTCCAGAATCCTTGCTTCCGGGCCAAGCAGGGAGGTTGGCCTGGATCAGCTCCCAAGTCTCCTGCCTGGCTTCTCTGCAGCTTTATTTTCCCTTTGGGAGTGGGGGGGGGGGAAGGGTAGGTAGATTATGGATATCAAGTATATTTTGTACTTGATATAAAATATATATCTTCTATACATATATAAGATATAAGCCTTGCATGTGATAGAGACAAACATAGCTACTACTAACTTTAGTTTCTACAAAATATAGTTGCTCACAGTTTGTTAAGTGGCTGGCAAAATTCAGATTTCCTGTCTTACCTGGTGTCCTGAGACAACCACCCAGAGACAGAGTGGGGAGCAGAACAGGCCAACTGATGAAGTACACTGCTGAGGGGAGCAGCGGGTGGGTCAGGCGAGGTCTGCCGCGCCGGGCATCGAACTCATGCTGAAGTGGCTTCAGCTTCTTAGTGCTGTGTTTTAACATGCTGCGCCACCAGGGAGGGCCCCTGGTCAAGGTTTTAATTGAAACTTGTGGCCCTCCCCTCAGGGGCAAGACATGACACCATAAAATATTCAAATGGCAACCCCATTCTCGCAAGGTAGCACCATGAAGTGTCCTGCATTGCACCCTCACATAGAGATTAGGGTCAATGTTACTTAGCAATGTCATGTCCCATCTGATAGCCAAAGCTATCTCATCTGATCCTCACAACAATCCTGTGAGATAGATAGAAGGACACATCTCCCCCTTTCAGGGAAGTGAGTGACTTGTGCAGGGTCATCTCCCCAGTCTCATGGAACCAGCTTTAGCACAGGCCTTCTGTGCCTTCCTTCCCTGTGCCCATTCACTCAATCCAGCCTTTGTGAGGCAGACACTTCCATGAGAGGCATCCAAGCTGAACCTTGTACATGTTGCCGCAAACACCATGCCCTTACAGGAGCTAGAAAGACAGCTCTGTTCCCCACAAATAGCACTTTGCTCTAATCACACAGCTCTAATTTAGATGGAGTTTCCAGCCAGTTTTCTCTTTCTTGGTTTGACTGACTCCAGAAGAGTATACTCCCTTGTGTGGGAGATAAAATGCAGTTCTGTCCCAACCCAAGAGATAGAGTAATTTGTTAGTAAACTTTCATCATCTAAAATTTCTTACCTGCTGATTCAAAAGGAGATGTAAGATCCTGGGAGAAAAAAAAACCATCCACTGTATGCCATTGGCACAAACCACTATGTATGTGCTCTCGTTGTTGAGCAGGAATTAAGCTAAACTTAGGTTCGTACAGTTTTACTGTCTTGACAAGAAAGCAGAACTTTTTTACCTTACTGAAAGCCCTGGGCATGATGGCACAAGTTCATATATATGATGTCCCAAAACTTTCATTTGTATTAGTTTATATTTGATTCACCTGTTCTTACTTATTTGTTATTTTATCCATATATTAAGAGCTGATGAATTAAATCCAAGAAAATAAAAGAGGAAGGAGGAATATTTGATTCTGCAAGGGTGTGGCCAGGGATGGTAAGCAAACGCAGAAAGGGTTAAATAGCTTTTAAGGTGATCCTCATCTGTGAACCAGTATTTCCAGTGCTAAGAATCCAACCAAAAACCAAAAATCTAAGAATGGAAAACCATGAGGCACAAATACGTGTGTCACTCATATATCAAAGTGGGAAATGGGTTAGATTCAGATGTCAGGGAATGCCTAAGAGGACGGTGTGATGCTTTTTCACTGGCATAAGATGAGAACCTAACTGGAAAATGCAGATGAGGTAAAAAGAAGGGTACAAAGGTGAAACACGGTATGACTAAGAAGTCATGAGACCCAAGAAGAGTCAGATTTTATTCTCACACACAAAAATAAAAACCCACCAACCCTCATGTGGATATTTATAGCAGTTTGATTTGCGATAGCAATTTTATCACCGAAACTTGTAACCAGCCACCATTTTTCAATAGGTGAATGAATAAGTAAGTACTGATGCATTCTCTGTGTGGACTATTATTCAGGGCTAAAAGCAACGAGCTGTCAAGCCATGAAAAGACCCGGAGGAAACCTCCGTGCAATACAAAGTAAAAGAAGCCAGTCTGAGGAGGCTGCACACTGCAGTCCAGTTATACCACATTCTGGAAAGTGCAAAATCATGGAGACAGTACAAAGATCAGTGGTTGACAGGGGTTTGGGAGTGGGAAGAATCAATAGGTAAAAGGCCAGAGCTTTTTAAGGTAGTTCAACTATTTTGTATGATAGCGCTGGTAGATTCATTATATATTGGTCCAAACACACAGAATAAGCAACACCAATAATGAACTCTAATGTAAACTATGAATTTGGGGTGGTCATAATGTATCAATGTAGGTTGCATCAGTTATAGCAAATGGACCGCAATACTAGGGAGACATCAGTAATGGGGAGACTGCATGTGAAAGGGGGGATGACATGGGAAACCTCTGTATCTTTGTTCAGTTTTGCCATGAATCTAAAACTTCTCTAAAAAGTCAGGTATAAAAAGTAAAACAAGGAAGAGGGGAAAAGCTGGAAATATTTAAGAAGGTTGTGTTTTGGTTATGATAGACTTCTTTTGTCTTCATGCCTGTAATTACTATTAAAAACATGAACATGCATTTATAATAAAAAGAAAATAAACATTTTAAGAACTTAAAAAGACACAAAATGAAAAATCCATATGGTTATAGATTTAAGCAATTCTGAGTTTCTGATCCCTTGATATTTTTTTTAGTGGTCAGTTTTGTAAACTCACATTCCTCTTGACTATTTGTGAGTTACACAGTTGACCCTTTATGCTAACTCTATGGCCAGTTACAATTTTTGTTCCCACTGAAAATAAGTCATCTCTGGGGAATCTCAATGGCAACTGTGATCTTGGAATTTTTCCCATAATATATGATTCAATTTTCATTTGTTTTCAAAACTCTAAGATGCTATTGGAAGGGCCTATTTTCTTATTAAAAATCTGTAGATATTTATGTTTTATTTACTACTTTTCAATGACTTAGTTTAATGATTAAAATTAAAAACTCAATTAAAAATATAAGTATACACACATGATTCATGTGCATGTATGTGTTTACATATCACAACATGTGATTATCTATGTATACACAGCACACACACATATCTGTGTGCTTGTGTATATATCTGCAGCATGTAAGTATGCATTTATACAGTGCATGTAGGCATATAAATGTTATATAGCATATGTGTATATATACTTATGTATGTACCTACTGTATCTATGGTATATGTGTGTATCTATAGTATAATATATGTCTATACAGTGAGAATTCTCTCTGTTCTGTCTCCCATCTGTTCAATTCTCTGGCACCCTCCTTCTGAGAAACCACTGTTTTATAATTTTTGTGAATACTTTTCAGAGTTTTTTATGCATGTGTATGTAAATACTAGTATATATTCTTATTTCCCCCAAGTTTTATATAAAGAGTGGCACAATTTTTACACTATCCAACACTTAGCTTTTTCACTTAACAATGTATTTTTCTTTATCAACATATAAATAGCATCATTCCTCTTTACAGTTACAGGACCCCAGGTGTCAATTTGTGGATTTACCATAATTTCCTTAACCAGTCCCCTGCTGATGGATAGTTGGGTTGTTTCCAGTATATTGCTATTGCCAACACTGTAATGACGAGGCTTATACATTTATTTCATACATTTGCAAGCATGGCTACAGCATGCCCAGGAGTGATGTTGCCCAGTCAAAAAGAATAAGCCTCTGTGACTCCGACTGTCCAGGTTATTCTGATGGCCAGGCTGTCTCCAGAAGGAAGGGGTTGCCCTCCTACCAGCAATACTTCTGAGTGCCCAAATCCCACACACTCTTGCCAAGAGTACTTTGCCTCAGATGTAATTGTCATTCTGATTTGTGGAGAAAGGATTTGGATTCCTTTCATGAGGGAGTTTTAGCATGTCTTCAGAGGTAAGAGCCCTTCCTCTTGGGTGAAAACTGTGTACTGCCTTCATTTGGGTTACCATAGTTGATAGTCGCATTCATATGGATTTCTAGAAGTCCATTATGAATTAAGAGCTAGCTTCACTCAGTAACTACACTTACCTGACTGGAACATGCATCTGAGGATAAGAGACCCTAAATGGGGCTTCCCCTGGGCTGCTGGAATCAATAGTATGCATTTGAAGTAAGACTGATGGTCGTTCGAGAAAGTGTGTGGACCCCACCCAGGAGGTATCAAGGTCAGGTTCCAGCTTGCAAGCTGGCCTGCTTACTCACAGTGTCACTTAGAGCAAGTCATTTAGCTTCTTGAAGTCTTTGTTTTCTTACCTGTATTATCAGCCCTATGACCATCCACTGTGGATTATCCTGGATAACACACAGGAAGAATCTGGTAGCACCGTGATTACATGAGGCCAGATAATGGCAAACACTCACAATACTCCTTGGGGTGAGCTCACCGAGTCTCACTAAATAAAGTATAAGTGCAGCAGGCAAGAAGGGGTGAGCCAGCACGGGCGATCCCAGAGGCCCTGGGCCATGCTCCCGGGGTCTTTTCTTGCTCGCACAGGACATACTTCATTTTAGATTATGAACCCCAATGATATGTACAAGATATCTTGGCTTTAGGGGATTTCAAGCAGAAGTTTCTGGTGGTAGTTGAGTAATTATTATTGATGTAATCAAACCAGACTGTGTAAACCATGAACCAGGTGTCATCCATCAATCTGTGCATCCCTAAACCACGCAGACATGCTGGCCCTGCATCTCCAGGGATTTTGTTTTTGACATTTAAACAGCACATTATAAGTGACTGATTGCTCACCTCACCACTCTTCCCCTAACTGAGGATCAGTACCAGACTCCAGACATCCTTGAGCTAAGCATAGAGTAATGTCTGTCCAGTTGTAAGATGACCCTACCTTACACAGGTACACAGGCAGCACTCAGAAGCTCTTACTTCCTTTCTCTTTCCCTGGAACAAACCGCTTTTTGCTTCACCTGGACCTTTTTTTCTCCAGCTCAGGGGAGACTGTCACCAGCGTGACCAGCTTGGCCCCCCTGCACCCCAAGAAGGGCAAGAGGCGGAAGGAAAAGACTGACATTCCCCCTGCAGTCCCTGCCAAAGGTAGGAAGCTCACCCACAAAGATTCATGAGGCAATCACCATGAATGATCTAGAAGTGTTCTGGGGTTTGCTGTGGGTTCATGACAGGAGGAATAGCAGGTAGAGGGCATGACATGATGGGCATCCAATGTTTATACCATCTGGAGGCCACTTCCTTCCCATCCTAACCTGCCTAGATTCTGGCCATAACTGAGCTCTGACTTGGGGTGGGGCTGGAGCTGGAGCTCGTGCCACTGGCCCACATGCAGCATCCACAGGCTACTTCCATGGCCTGTGTACCCCTGAGAGGCTCTGAGTAATGCGTGGGGTCAGGGGGTGTCAGCATCTTCTTGGTTCATTCAAGGGAAAGAATATTCTCTAAAGATGCTAAACATGTGTATAATGTATTTTGGATGGGTCCTGGGACTGAAGTGAGGGCTCTTTCTCAGTTCTGGTTATTACTGAGAACAACATAATGAGGAAGATGGGCATCTTGAGAAGAAATGGCGTAACAGGTCTTAGGGAACTAAGAAGGCTTAGTTTCTAAAATAACTATAGGCAGTTTAGGAGAAATTCATACCTCAAAGCATTTGAAATAAAGTTGGTAATATGAGGATTGCCTGGGTGAACAACTTAACACGACATAAAGATGGATGTCGTCTCTCACAGGAGGTATTTGGGGTCCCCAGTGGTGCTGAGGTTGAATTACATTGGGGGGCAGAGGGGTGGAAGGCCTCTGGGAAGCACAGGTGTAAGGGAAGGCAGCAGAGAACCCACTCTGGGCCAAGTGTTGTACTGCTCCAATGTCTCTCCCTGCCCAGAGACAAGTGACAGAGCCTGGCTTTGAAGTGAGGGCTGCTGGTCTTCTAAGGCCAAGTTCAATTCCCAAGTTACTGAGATATGAGTTATACGATGGTTGGTGAAAGCCCGGGGTTTTTGTTGGTCAGGGACAGTAAAAGCCTCCCTGACAACCTCACAGGCTGCTGTGAGTGTCAGGAGTCGCCCCCTTCAGTGTGGGTGTGCAGGTGGGGAAAAGCTGCAGGGAAGGTCCCAGGCTCAGCCCCTACCAAGCATCCCGGTCTTCATCCGCCTGCCGGACTCTGGAGCTGGCAGTGTTTACCGCGGAGCTGTTCTGTCAGCCTGGTTGAGGGGAAATAATGACATTTCCAAAGACCAGGACACGGCTGCCCCCACCAGGAGCACAGCCTGGCATCAGAAACTGGAGTTCTTCCCTGGGGGCAGATGGGCTCATGAGTCTCCATGAGTGTGTTTGGGTGTTTGTGATTTGTGGGCGTGAAGAGCCTGGGGAGGAATCGTAAGCTGAACCCTTGACATGCGTCCACAGCTCCCATCGCCGCCTCGTTCCACAAGCCGAAGCTGCTGAAGCCTCAAAGGAAAGTCACTCTGGTGAGTAACATACTCTGTGTCGTTGTCATCCCCTCAAGCCATAAACACGCTTCAGGGTCTAAGTTGCACTTTTATTGATGCAAAATATGCTAAAAAGTTCTTGGTGCTTTTGTTTCCATGCAAAGGCATTCATTTTTCTTCGTCAGCTTTTGAGCCAGCTGATCTCCAAACTTAGTTCCCAAAGTAGTTTTGTTGTTGTTGTTTTAAGCCTTTTTTTTTTCATTATTAAATGCTACTTTTCAGAAAGAAGAATAAAGTCACCCTCAGGAATTTATAAAACAGAAAGTAGACCTGCTTATATGAAGTTACCTGCTAACTATTCTGATGGCACTGCTGAGGAACCTTCCAGAAAACGTTAGAACTCTTTTTGAAATAATTTTAGATTTATAGACCAGTTGGAAAGATAGTATAGAGAGCTCCCATCTACCTCCCACTCCAGACTCCCATCATGTCTCAACAGTTTTTGTATGCATGTTCTTGTTTTGGTCCAGAGTCTGGTCAGGAAATCACTTAGTTGTCATGTCTCCTTAATCTTTCTGTTTGTCCCTCCATCTGTCTTTCTCCTCGATGGCGTTGACACTTTTGAAGAGTCGCCACCAATTAATTTATAGAATGTGTCTGATTTGGATTTCTCTGAGGTTTTCTTATGATTGAGAATGAGGGTTTGGGTTTGAGGAAGGTCAGCACAGAGGTTACATTTTCCTCATCATCCATATTATGCGCATTTTAGCAGTCCTGTTTACCTCAGTCACTTGGTTAGTGGTGTCTGCAGGCTTCTGCAGTATTGTCACTCTTTTTCCTTCCTGCACTCTGCTTGTTAGAAACTAGTCACTAAATCTAGTTCACACTCAAGGGGAGCAGATTTAAATTCCACTTCCTGAAAGGTGTAGCAAAATTTGAGGGGCCATTAATTGAAACCACCCCAGTAATTAATGCATAATTTAGGGGAGAGATATCAACACAAATATGCCTGACCTTTTGCCCAGAAATTTAGCATTCATCAGTGGATTCTGTTTGCAGCATTTGTTGCTATGGTATAAGAATGGTGACTTTCTATTTTCTTCAATCCTTTCACATATATTATTTGATATTTTTCTGTAAGGAAGAGCTGAACCTCTGATTTATTTGTTCACCAATTCCTTTCTATCAGTACAGTTGCTGGTACTGTTTTGGACCATTTTATTTATTTTGTTGCTAATATTTTTCAGCAGTTGTGTTTTTGAGCAATAGAGCAAGAGATACTGACAAACCTATTCTAAAATGTGTACATACTATAAAGGACCAAGATAAGTTTGAAGGAAAAGTACAAAGTGAGAAATTTATATACCAGTTTTCAAGATTTACCTTAGCGCCACAGTAATTAACCAGGTATGGCACTGGCGTGGGAACAGACAAACAGACGTAAGGAACAGAATAAAGAGCTCTAAACAAATTTGCATATGTGTCTTCACTAGATTTTTAACCAATGTAGCAATGTAGTAAAGTTAATATTTGTGCCATTCACTATGTGATGACGGGTCTAAAACACAACAATCTACAATCCCTGTTTCATATCACACATAAAAAGTAGAGAAAGATCATCGACTTAAGTGTCCAGGCACAAATGAAGCTTTTAAAGAAACATATCTCCCTGACTTCAGGGTAGGGAAGACACAGAAAGTAACAGCCATACACACACACACACACACACACACACACACGCATGTTTACATATGTACACACACACGCTGTAGGCATATATAAGCACGCCATGCATGTATAGACATATACAGTTATGCCATATATAGGCACACCACACACATATATAGGTACGTGTATGTGTGTGTGTGTGTATGTATGTATGTATATAGAGAGGTGATTTTTTCATGCTGTCCAAATTCTCACAGTAAGTGCCCCCCCCCCCAGACTTGCATGTGAGAACACACAAAAACTCCATTCAAGAAAAATGAGTCTCAACAACCCAAAGTGGGCAGTTTCCATTTCTCCTGGAGACAGTGTTGCTGCTGATGCATGGCCCTCGCTTTTGCTAGGCCATAGCCAGGTTGGCCCCACCTCTCACTTACCCATTTAACAGAAATTGGTTACACACCTATCACCTGTTAGGTACAAAATGCTGCCTTAAGCAATGCTAGGTTCCTTAAAGTTTGGATTCAACAGTGCATTCAACGATAAGTCTGGTGTCTATCACAAGTTTTTGCTGCTATTTTGCTTGTGTGATTGTTTGCGCTGCCTGTCCCTCCCTCCTTGCCCAGCACCGCTTTACTCTGTGGCCCTGCTGGCCCCACACTGGACTGACTGATTGCCCCCTGATCTTCCCAGTCCTGGTTCAGGGGGACCTCAGCACAGTGGCCAAGGGCTTAGCCTTCTGCTGGAACTAAGGGATTTCTTTCATAGGAAGGAAATTGAGGCAATTATATGCATTTCAAAAGCACATTTTCTTTTATGCATGTATTGCCAGTTTCAATTCTTTAAATATGCAATTACTCCCTTGATCAATTAAGGTCTGAAGAAACTTAAACACTTTTGTAACAGATTTCCCAGAAATGAGTCGATTTGGAAACCAGTTCACACCTCTAACAATACACACACAGAAGAAAAGAGCTGACTAGGGATGGGTCTCTGTTTGACCAGAGTCGAATTTATCAGGCCTAACGTCTGCAGGTTTTAGTTAATATTAAGATTTATTTTCCCAGGAGGCCAGCATTGACCTTAGTCTCAATTTGGTCGATATTTATCATTCAGATCAATAAGTCTTGATGGTAGTTGAAACTAAAGTCAATAGCTACTTGTTGACTCACACAGACCTTGGTGGGTAATTTAGAAAATAACTTGGAGGCATCTTTTCTCTGGGGCCTGTTACCAGTTTAAGTGTTTAATTCTGTGATTGTTCAGTTTTGCCACAATCTCCTTAAAATAGCGCTTCCCAAGTGATCCCAGTCCAGAGCTTCCCGACCCCTCTTTCCAGAGTGATACTGCTAGTCGTTCATCCCGGAGCCACACTGCCCAGCCACCCCCCTGACTCACTGAAGTGAAGGGAGCGCTTCCTTTGGTGAGCCCCCAGCCAGGTACAGGCTTCTCTGCAGGTGCTTAACCCACCTGGCTCCATCAGTCATCTCCCCCCAACGTGGAATCATGTGGGCCCTCGGGCTCCTCCAGCAAAACAACAAGCAGGCGTCCTTGTTTTACACCCTCCAAGTATTAACAAGTGGGGACCTTCTCTTATGTTTCCAAGGTGGTGTAGTATTTCAGGAGAGGTTATATGTACCAGAGATTAAGAGTGACTGAGAGGCTTTAAAAAATCATGAGAACTCAAGAAGATAAAAAAGGCAAAAAAGGTATCTTAGACATTCTATAATCAAGGTATTAAAACAGCCCTTACCCCCTTTTAATAAACCAACTGAACACAACAGCCTGCTTTCAAATTTGGCCATCAGGTAAACGAGGCCATTATCATTATCCTTTTGATGCAGCTACTTTCTGACAAGGTGATCAGTCTGCCTAATAGCCTTAAACATTGACAGGCTCTATTTCCATATATCAGGAGTTCTTCATCTTTTTGGAGACCGGAACACTCTCACAAAAGTCAGTTTTTGTTTTTTTTTACATTGGAGCTGAGCTCAAAAGACTTCCTTGAGGCTTTCTGGGAACCCCTATTTCCCCCTCTTGGTTAGATGACCCTGCAGGAGAGGTTCTGCAACCCTTGGAGCTAATTCACAAACTTTTAGGAAAATCTGCTATTGTTTCCTTCTTTCAGAAGAAAACAGAAAGCCAGAAGCACATATGATTTATTTTTATTGCATTAGGTCAGTTATTGACTTAGAGGCAGAGTGGAAGAAGAGAAAACAATTTCTGTGATGTGGAGGCAAGACCTCCGTGTTTAAGATAGAACAGTCTCGGGGAGCATGAGTTCAAGAGGACAGTCAGCATCCCAAACTAACTAGAAGGGAAGAGAATAGTCCTTTGGGCCCGATGGACTTTCCCCCGCCCCTGGCTGCGTTACTGTCTCCACCTCCTCAGTGAGGACCACTCAGTGCCTCACCTGTGACTCCTCCCTGACTGTAATCGTTACTCATGTGTCGCCTTCAGTAACTGCAAGCGTCAAGCCATCCCTGTTCTCCAAGGAGAAAATGATCTCTCGTGTACAAAAGACTAAAGACAAAAGAAATTGAGCAGCGTCATGGGCTTAATTACCATGAGCTTCCCCGTGGGTCTCCTGTATCCTGTCTCCCCACTCTGAGCCATCCCCCGACTGCTGCCTGGGGATCTCTCCACAGCACAGCTCCAACCATGCCATTTCCCTGCTGAAAATGCTGTCGTGGCCGCCCTTGCCTCCAGGAGGAGGTCTGGGTTCCTGTGCCTGGCACACAGCTAGTCAGGCTGTACCCTCTGTCTCCCCTGCCCCCTAACCCAGTACCCAAGTCTGGACACCTGTGGCCAGGCTCTGTCCCGCTGTCCTTCCCTCATCTCCCACAGAGCTGCACTCAACTCCAGCATGACTCTCCCATCACCTTCTTTTGGAGGTCTTGTACCTCCTCAATCCCCATTTCTCCATAAATCTAGGCATCAGAGTTAGTGACACCTCTGCCATGTCAATCACCTCCCGTGGTCAGCTCCCTGTGTCTTCTCAGTGCAGCTTTATTTGACTTTCTGAGACTGGACACCTTGCTCCTGACCATAAATGTGGGTTCCCCATCATCACCCCAGCCGACTGCTCCTCCCACATGGTTAGGCCCTTCCCTTGTTTGTCTCCAGAGTGTTGGCTCTTTCCAGGCTTCTCTTCTCTTTGTACACGTACGTAGCTTGGGAAAGTCAGCGCTCGCAAAGATAACACCTGCGTAGCCTCTCAGTCCTCAAGATGGGTCTGCAAGCCTTTTCCAGACTGTTGCTTCTCACTGATGATGGGATACTCTCCCAGAGGGCCCAGCACATCCCAGTTTCCCCCAATGTCACCATAGCCCACACTGTACTCCTTTACCTCACTTTGTCCTGTTCCACCTGGG